TGTAACAAGCCCTGGAGGCCCATAGGGCTGTGAGACATCAAGGTTTCCACATTTTCTAGCCAATCGGCTCGCAGATAGTGGTGAAGTTGTGAGCCGTACATGCTGGCTGCCCTTTACTCCCAGAAGAATTCCTGGTACTCATTTCTGTTAGAGGCTGAGTCTACCCCAGGGCCATAGTGCAGCTGAAAGGATTAGGTCAGTTGAAAAATCTAATGACCTCATTGAGAATCAAACCCCCAAACTACCAGCTTGTTGCATGGTGCCTCAACCAACTGCACTACTGCATTCCCCTTTCTGTCTGTCTATCCATGTTGTATCTCTGAAATTAATTGATGAATTCTAGTAAAAAATGATACTGTTAGGTCACAATGAAATTTCTGAAGTGGGTTTAATTTTGAAGAAAGCAGTCTTCTGGGATTTGGCACCGTGTATATGTGGTGTTAACCGACGTTTCGGAGGAACGTATCGCCCCCATCTTCAGGGTTGAAGAAGTATAGGTAAATCTGCAGATTTACCTATACTGCTTTCTTCATAGTCACCGCCGTGAAAGCCTCAAATCTTACATGGGTTTAATTTTGTTGCATACTGGTTAGTTTCCTCATGTGGAAGTAGGTTAGAATACCTCCACTGCAGCCCTGTGAATTATAGAAGGCCACAAAAAGGGAACCCAGTGCCTGGGTTTTTAAGTGGATCACCCTGTCACTGGGGGAACATAAATTCAGGGACTGGGCCCACCAGGCTGGGGGTTTGCCACAAGACTGATGACCTTGCTCTGGAAAGAAATTACTGTTATGATATTTAAAGAAGTGTGAACTGGTTAGTTACAACGCTTACTTTCTATAAAGCCCGCATTATACTTTACTAAATTTCTCAAAAGCAGTTCATTGTACAAGAAATTAGTTGTGTGACAATGCAGATCTGATTGAGATTAGTGATCTTTATTTGAAACACTTCCAAGTAAGGTGGGTATTTAATGAAAGACAAGAAAACAAAATATCTAACTCTATGCAGTATAAAACCTGTAGTTTAGTTATTTTTGTATTTGCAATAGACTTATATTTGTAATAAATGAGCACCAAACCCCATGAGCTATACAAAACAGTAAAGAATGTTTTAAAATATGTATACTCCAATGGAGTGCACCTTTCTGTTCTTGTTATATCCTTGTTTTCCCTCTTTTCCAACAAATCCCATACATTTGTACCAAGATTGTCATAAAAGAAATGAACTTAGTAGGTATCAAAAATATGCATTCAGAAGCATATGTTCAAAGACATTACATTACAAGTAGCATAGTGACATGTATTCTGTCTTGCTAGGGAAATGAAGGAAATGAACTCGCGGCAAGCCAAGATTTCTGTGGAGACAATGAGGGAAGTAGCTAATGACAAGACTCTCCGGACAAAAGGAGACAGAGACCGTCGCATGAAGGAGAAGAAACAGAACAATACCAAGAAATTCACAGATGAACGCAGGTTTGCTCAAAAGAAGAATGACAGGGAGATAGAGAAACTGAAGTCAAAACATGATAAAGAAATGGAAACTCTGATAAAGGATGTGCAGAACGTGAGTACTTGGCATATATAGTAAATTAATTTCTAGCAACTTAAACGTTAATCAGAGCTGTGGTGACGTAAGCTAACACAAGGTTACGTATCACATTTATATTGTCACATGGATGAGTGACTATATACGGGGTTTGGATGGGTAATTGGGGATTTATTGAACACTTAAAGATTGTAGCTACAAGTAACTCTGGTGCTGTCACTATTTCTCACATGGTACAGTTCACTACAGCACACACTAACTCTTTTCAGTCTACTTTATCTTCAGCGGTTGTTTCCAGGTGACTCCTTCCACTGCCATAGGTTCCTCAGCATCCATGTTCACATCCTTACCGGCCTGCAACTGTCTCACAACTGACTAACTCCCAGGCTGGCAGCCATCTCGCACCAACTTGCTCCTCTTGTCACTGCCATCTCACTGCAACTAGTGCTCATTATATGGCCTTGGAATGGACCACACAGAGAACACTGCTTCCAACAGTTCTTCTCTTGTTGCATGTGTCTGTTATGGCCATGAGCTTTGTTTACAGAGCCATTACTTACCAACAGTTGTTGTATAGCTGCTTATTTCGCACTTGTTGCCTTGCAGCAGGTCTGCATGCCACAATATGATCAGGGAATATATCCAAGGCTAAGGTGACCGCTCACCAAGAAACATGCCTCCACAGAGAATGTGGTGTAGTATGTTTATTTCATACAAGTACTACAAGAATATGCCTGAAAGATGATACATATTTGAAAACGTATTGTCACATGATAGAGTGACTACTATAGATGGGGTTTGGATTTGTAACTGGATTTATTGAACAGTAACTGATTGTAACTACAAGTAACTATAGTGCTATCACAAATTCACACACTCAGCAGTTCAGTTCAGCACTTACTAAGTCTTCTCAGTCTGCTGTGTCTTCACCTGTCATTATCTGGTAACGACTTCCAATGTTGTAGATCCCTCACCTTCTATATTCACATCCTTACTGGCTGGTGACTGTCTCACAAATAACTAAACTCTAGACTTGTCTGGCTTATAACGCCTTGGCATAGACTGCATAGAAAACAGATTGTTGTAGTTCAAATGTTGCCATGGAAATATGCTTGTTTGCGAAACCATTACACAGCCACAGCAAAAAGATCAGATGATCTTTGATTTTCTTAACTCTGAAAATAAGGAAAATTTTTCATCTTCTCTTCCTGTAAATTCAGTGCCAAAATAACGGAAAAGGAAAATAAATATATGGGTCACAGATATATGTGTATAATGGAATCTCACTGTTACAAGAACTTATAAAATTGCTAGAAATGCTTAACGTAATGGATACTTGTAATATCCAAAAAATTGTTTAAATGTATGACATTTCCCTTGCTTAACTTCTGGTTCTGTTTAATACAATTTACAGTCTACAATACAAAATAGTAATGCATCTGTGGTAGTATTTCCCCTTCTTTGGAAAGATTATCATGGGGCATTAAAATAATGAAGAATAATTCAGCATTCTTATTGTAGTTGGTATTATCTGGATCTGAAGAATTAAGGATTTTCTTAAACTTGCATAACGTCTTCTACTTGCAATAAATCGTTAAGTAGGAGTCATCCATTATGAGCAAGATTCCTACCCACTATTTTCTGCATGGCAGCAAGCACAGACTTCTCATGTTGCAATCACATTTTGCTGTGTGCTTACAAGTCTCACGCATATTTCACCCGTAATCCACTGCATGTTCATATATGTGAGAATAAATGCATAGTCTTGTATCAGACTTGAGTGACAGACTATACACTATATAGTGTATACACTATACACTATACACATGCATGTATTATGTCACAAGTTGTTCTAAATGGCAAGACTGGAATATGTGAAGCTTTTTTCCACAATATATCACTGAAGGTCACAGTGGAAGGGCCAGTAGGTAGGCCCACACCTTATGTATGTATGTATCTATGTTCACCTTTTTAACATAACATATGTAAGCAGTCATTGTGAATCAGCCATTATACTTAAATGTAAAGTGTATGTTATGATAGTGGCACGTAAATCCACGACTGCTTTTTTCCCTTCCATTAAATTACACATTTCCATTACCTCACTGATACTGAAAATGACTTGTCTTTATGACATCTGGATGGGATTTGTATCATCTATATTTCCTGCTCCTGTGACAGATCTCATCTCATTATTTTTATCACATGGTCACAAGCAGAGACTGCAAAGTGAACTTCACCAATCACTAATATGCACTCACGAAGGAAGGGACGAATGTTGGTTTGCTTAGGTTTAGTATATACCATATTTTCTCTTTGTTCTTCAGCGTCACAAAGAGTGTTGAAGAAATTAATCCATACCTCCTTCATGTTTCACTTTTTTGATGGGCTGCCAACTTCACACAGGCATATTATTTCAAGTCTGAGCTCTTCCATTCTGTTGCCATAATTAAGGTTTCTCAAATTTTTTCCTGAAATATCAGTCATTTTTAGCCAACTGACATCGCTGGTAGCCCAAAAGATTTAATTGGCTGCAGCCACTGTGAAAACTTCAGATATGATATTAGTAAAAGAATGTATGTAAAACATGCAATGCGAATATGTTATAAATATAAATAGTGATAAATGTTCCCTTTATATTTCTCTACACTCAAGTCTGAACCATTCTGGAAAATGGATTAGAATATGAAATACAACTTTAATTGTTTATATTAAAAAGTGTCCAAGAGCTGCACATAGGATAGATAAGCAACTAACCAGTTGTTAAAAGGTTAATATGGCTGTTTTTGTTTGCAGCAAATTGAGTTGAACAACAATGAAGAACTAGAGCACCAACTCGCACCCAAGATGGAGTTCTTTGCTTGAACTCTCATGTAATTGCAGGACAATACAAATAGACGCAACCAAAATCTCGTCATATTTATGTTTATGATTTATATTATTATAATTCTAGTCAGTTCGGTACTGGATCACACTGTCATAGTGCTGTAATTCTCCTCTGTGGGGTGGAGTAACAGTACATCTCAATGTATTAAGGTATGTGATAGAACACTAGATGTAGATCTCCACAGTGTCAGATGCTTGATGAATATGGCTCCTTATAAAAATTAAATAACAAAGGTCTTCACAGTTTTTAAGCTGGTGGTTGATCTGTATGATAAACATGCAAAGTGTCATTTCATCATAATTTCTAGAAGCATCATTACTTATTACTGTATATGTGTATGTGTATGTATGCCTACAGCAAAAGGTACAAAAAGTTAACTTAAAGCCAAATATTGTTGTTATAGATTTCATAAGATATCTGTCCTTAGTTGGTAAAATATACATACATTCAAGCTGTAAGAAATCAGTATGCAGATTGAATATATTCTAATATGAGAAACAGACACACACCCTCATCACTCACATTATATGTTTTATTTCCAGTAACATCTAAATTATAGTTCCTTCTTGCCTAAAGTGTATAAATAATAACAAGTATCTTGTTGTCAACATTACTTAATTTATACAGTTCATAATTGTCATCCTGTAGTTGTCATGTCAGGATGATCCACCTTCCAGCTATTTCCTATAACAGAATTATTTTCTGATAAGTGCCAAAAATATTTATAGGGAAATTTCTGAGAAGTAGTATATAAGCTTACCAGTATAATGTTAAACAAAAGTTGGACATGAGTACAAAATGATCTGGACTCTTAATCCAGACTTTTATAACCAAAGGGAATTAATAGTAATTACTGAAATGTTGCCAGATGCTGACATGAGATTTTATACTTGTAATAAACACACATACACACATCATTTAGAGCAACTGAAGAGTTATAAGCAAGCAGTGTGAAAATAATGAAAAAGAAATGTAATGAAGTTACGTATATGAGGTTAATGTGGTGAAACAAATTTATATGCAGAGGTACAATGATGCTTGCCCATTAGCATACATGGTAGAGTCATTAAGTTCGTGGTATGTGGTTTTATCGCATCATATTACAAGGTATTCACATACACTTACGCAGATCCACATCAGCCCTCAAAATAGTTGCCGTTGGCCGCTATGCAAGTCTGCTGACATTGATATAGCTGTCAAAAACATTGCTGAAATATATTGGCAATAAATTCCCGTATGACGCTTTGCAGCCATTCCATGAACTTATTGACTGTGGTAGTAGTGCTCTGTTATGTCAACACCCATTACCACCTCATATCCCTCGTAATGTATCCCTTGTTTGGGCTATAGAAACTGCATGTCATGAGTTTTACTGTTTCCAACATGCATTAAGCATTATATACACTGATCTTTTCTGTATTGTAATGACTATCAAAGCCCTTCTATAAAGGATGACAGTAAAAGCCATTTCTGGCTCAAATTTTGTAATTTCATAATGTTCTGTATTAACCACTGACTGATAGAAAGTAAAGTTCTTCCTGTGCCTAGGGACCATGTCATGAAGCTGGGTGAGAGAATGAAAGTAAAGCTATACATATTCATAATCTTGCCATTAGGTAAAGGTGAGTGGTCAGTATAACTCTGTAGCCACTTTACCCTGAGGATGGAGGATTCCAGTACCCATGAGATATGAGCCTGGATGAGATACAATGCATACCTGAAAGTGTAAGAAAAGGGAAAGATGTTTGTCAGTGCTAGGAATCAAACCTCAATTGTCCAAGCCCATAGCCGGTCATTTACTGATTAAGCTGTCCTAGCTTATTCATTGGCTGAGTCTTTCAGGAAATATAACATGTTTTGATCATTACTGGGTACTTTCAGAAAGAGCACTGTATGTTTATATATCCATTTCTATACAGGGCAAGTGAGTAGAATTACAGAATAAATATTTACACAATGGAATAAGTTATTACAGTTCTGTCTTTGCACATTTTTAGAAGTTTATAAATGCACTTATATTTGTATTCTGGAAAGTTAACATTGCATTTCCAAAGTGACAAGGAGTATAATAATTTGATACATATATAATCTGCACATTAACAGTTCCACATTTTAACTGTGGAATGTGAAAATGTCGTGGTATTATCATATATTGTGGTCATTTGTGAAGTAACTGCATGAATATTTTGAAAGTGATCTTTTTTCAAATTGTCAGGCCATCTGGTTAAGAACATGGTGCAGATTTCATCACATATGGCATAATAAAGGTAGAAGGTAAAGTTACTATGCCATGAAGATGTATTGGGGAGTGGATGTATAGATCACATTTTCTTGACCTCGGCACTAGCTGGAGGTAAGTGGCCAGCTACATGCCCCGGCTGCTTTACCTCAAGGGAAAATGGCCCCAGTACCCATTGGATAAGAGGTTGGGTGGACCCCAGAGCTGGTCTGGATGACAGTGAGAAGAGAAGACTTGAACGTGGCTACCTTGGTCGTCCAGCCCCGTGGCTAGCCGCTATACCGACTATGTTATCCTGGCTCCTCACATATGGTATAATGCTATTGAAAATTTATTTCAACAGAGACAGTTATGCANAGCTAGCCGCTGTACCGACTATGTTATCCTGGCTCCTCACACATGGTGAGGTTATGCAAAAACTATTAAAAAAGTAAAACTATCTCTGAAACAGGCCATGGAGGCCCATAGGGTCATGAGATGTCAAAAGTATATTTTGTTCCAAAATAGAATGGTATGCTTTACAGTCAGTTGTAGAAAATTATTAAACAGCTTCTAAATATGGTAAACAACAATCCATGTATAAAAATTTTTTGTACAACTTTAATGAGAAATTTTAAGTTTGAGTGTTTCAAGATAATTATTGCTCTCAACTGAACTATGGGTAGAAAATGCCTTCATTTTCAGGTACATATTATAAGCCAAAGAATAAGTTTAATTTAAAGTTCCTAATCTAATTACAGTCAATAAAGTCATCAGAGTCATTAATGGTAGTAGCTTCTGGTAATGTAATTAACAAAATTGAACTTAACATTAATATAAAGTGCATAGAGTTTGGAGGAAGGCAATTTGATGGAAATATATTAAGCATTATGTTCTGGAAAATGTATGGTGAAAATTTGGTGCTAGTAGTTATATACTTTTGTTTTCACTTGGTGCAGCCATGCAAAAACAGTAATGCTTATGACACACTGAATTACCCTGAATACTTTGTAGAGGAAATATTGGCGATCAGGAGATCATACATCCCATATCTATGAATCACTGCTGACAGTTCTTTTGAACTGTAAAATGTTTTGATATCACCACAGTATTTCATGTCATAATAACATAAGGACATAAAAAACATAGGTGGGATACAGCAGATAACAGAAATTGTTTTCCGTTCTGACCTCAGAAGCAATTTGAATGAGAATATATGATGGTATCGCCCTCAGAGTCTGAAGTGGGCTCAATTACCATTTGACATTCTAGCAGTGAAATGGCCATCGAAAGTTCAATGGGAAAGTTTGACAGTTCCCATCCCTAGCCTCAGTTCCACATATGAGATCTCCATTGATCCACTGTTGTACATTGTAAACCTTGAGGGACACTCTGAAATTCTGATTTCATTGAATATGCACACTAGTAACTTTCTTTTTTATGCAAAGATGGAGTGTGCAGTAGCAACTAAAGAATAGATACCTTTCACTGCCATTTATTGCTGTCATCCTCTGGTCCTGTTTTTCTTTGCTACCAGTGATCCATATTCCTGCATAACACACACAGTCATAAACTGCATCATGTTGTTTATCTCGTATATATAGACAATGTTTAGTCAACATATGGTGAAGTGAATAGTGACCTTGAAATATAGTATGTTCATTGTAACTGAAAGTAAATGCTGTGGTTGCAGAATCCGAAAGTTTATATCATTAACCCCAAAGCCTGCCAGTGGCCGTGATCATGAGCCAATTCTATTCATCTCTCATTCTTACAACACATGTCTCTAAAATCCATCTTCTGTATGTTCTGAGTTGCCATTCTTTGAGAGGGTTCCTCCTAAGAATTCTGTAATCATTTCTTCTCTCTCTATATTAGCAATTTGGCCAGACCATCATACCCTCCTAAATATAATTATCCAAAGAATATTAAGTGACCTGTATGCAGTAGACCTCCTGTTAATGTTTCTTGATTTAAGATGTTCCCTGATCTAATAGTTATAGCATTCCTAAGTCAATAATCTTAGTGTTAGATTTCACACATTTGTGATCAACCTCAGTTTAGTGTTCAAGTCTACTGCTCCCAAAAAAACATGAAATAGGGGTTCCACTGTAAATCCTGAAGTTCCTCAATGTAAAATGCCCTGAATTTGTATGTATATAAATCCATCGCAGTCTGTATCTTTTAAACTAATAGCTATTATGGATTAGTAGACTAATTTTACTGACTCTTTTTTTAATTATTGAAAATTAAAACTGAATTTTTGGACTTCACCCAGGGTCTTGTACTCTAAAAAAAACAGATTTTTGGAAACTTGGTCTTTTTCTGTTCTCATATAGAAGGGTGTGGGACACTGCTTTGTTGAATCTCTGACTGGTCCAGTGATTGAGGCTAGCTCTGTCTGATGGATCAGACATTGTAGGTGCCTCCCACCCTTTCATCTGTGGACTGGAACGGACCCAATTCCCAAAACATTGTGTTGTAGAGAATACCAGATGATGTTCAATAATCCAAAGTCCTATACATCATTGACAGAACAAAGGCATAAGGCAAAGTTTTAAAGTGTCAAGTAATTCTTCATCCAAGAGTATGTTAAAACTTTTTTTTCTTATTCTCACAAGAAATGTGGTTAAATTAGGGATGAGTGTTATGGATGGCCAACAGTAGGATTTCTTAAAAATATAAAATTTCAGTTGGTAAACAAATTGGCACTGGGAAGACAAAATGAGAGAAGATTTGTAAGAGACCAGGGAAAGGGTTAATACCCATACATTTCAGCACTTACGCGTGAAGTGAGAAGCATGGAAGAGGCTTTTTCGTGAAGTGGAAGTATTAATGGAGGATGTTGTTCCTGAACTGTATTATCCATGCTGCAGACACTGAACAGCATGCAGGATGCTTTATACTACTAAACAATCCAGCTATAATCAATATCCGGTCATTTACCTCAGATTAATTTCTTNCATCTTGTTCCTGAACTGCTGCTGTTCCATGCTGCAGACACTGAACAGCATGCAGGATGCTTTATACTACTAAACAATCCAGCTATAATCAATATCCGGTCATTTACCTCAGATTAATTTCTTATTTTGTTTGTCAGATGTAGAAAGAGCATATCACTGACAGTGCATGTCTGCACCATTGCAAAGAAGTGTCTACAGTGCTTTCAGTACTCATAAAACAGCTGTTTCTTCTTGTATCTGGAATAAGTGTAGATACTAGAAATTTCTGCCATATGCAGTAGAGAAAAATAAGGAAACTGTCACTTTCTGGAAATGAAAGATTTTTTTTATTATTATGTAGTTATGTAATGAGAGAATTATTGTTAACTTATTCCAGAGTAAAGATATCTGTTGTAAATGGTGTGTGTATGAGTGTTTGGTTACATCTTTTTCAATGAATGCAGTTGTTTAGATATTCTAACATGTTATAAAATATATTTGAGATAGCAAAATGTGAGAGAAATATTAATATGTAACTGAATAAATGTAGCCAGAATAATGGATTCATACAGGGTTTTATCAGTCAGTGTCTCACCTTTCTTGTTCTTGAATACAGTGAGTAGTGAACAGAATCTTGATATATGCATTTGTCTGCATTTTGTTGTATGGACATTGAATAAATTCCTAAATATGCATTTGACGTCTTTGACAGTTTATTCATGTGAGAAAAACGTCATTTTATGTGGTCCTTTTCTTACTGTAATTAACCAACTGTCAAATTAACCCAAAAGTTCAGCACCATTAATCCAAAATCCTACCACTTCACNTACAGTTTATTCATGTGAGAAAAACGTCATTTTATGTGGTCCTTCTTTTCTTCTGTAATTAACCAACTGTCAACCTAACCCAAAAGTTCAGCACCATTAATCCAAAATCCTACCACTTCACATAATCCTGAGCCAGCTCCATCCATTTCCCACTCTTATTACCTGTTTAAAGAGACACACTATATTAGTGTCCCCTAATCAACATCCTCTTTGGGTTTCTTGTTTCTATCATCTGAGCTGTATGTAACTTCCTTCCCTCTCAGATTTTATTACCCAGCCATTGTTAAGTTTTGTAACATACCTGGATATTGTTTTCCAGGGTGAGGCTCTTAGCTTGATTCCCAACCCCCAGCCTGAAGGACCAGGGACAACCTTTTGTCTGGCAGACCTGTCTAGATTGGGTGACTCTGCCAGGAGCTTATACCCCTCAATAGCATAGCTCTTGGTGATCAGGGCATGCAAATGAACCCACAGCATTATTCAGAGATTTTTTGTATTTTTATTCTTGGTTTAAACTCAGTATTGAGAATATTGGACTTCTTCATTCTATTGTACAGACTGATGCTTTGCTATAAAGTTTGATCATGGCTGCTGCCTGCTAGAAATTATGTAGCAGTCTGCAAAACAGTTCTGAGATTGAAATGTTCTTTGGATTGAATTGTATGATAGTAAGTTTTTTTTTTATTTTTAAAGACAATTTAAATAAATTTTATCATAATTAGGCACATATGGATATAGAATGCAGACAGTGTAGCAGAACTGTAGAGAATAATATAATTATACATTATAGTATAATATAACAGATTTGATCAATGCTTTGCCAGCAGAAACTGTAAACACGATCCAACACGCAACAGCAGAGGAAGCTGTGTTTTCCATAGCTCTGACTGACATACAAATAGGCTGGCTGGATAGTAATCACGTGACATGTGTTTACTGTAGGCCCATGTGCGTTCCATGGCTATATAAGTAAGAGCGGCAGAATTCATTATGAGTGAGTAGTAGCAGCAGAAACATGCAAACAAGAGGATACCCGTAAGCTGAATGAATTTTAGTTGAGTTCTAAGGTTCCAGGGTGATTGAACAAGAACTGTCAAGAAGCCTCCATAGTGATTGAAAGTGCTAGTTTCTGTGTTGAGATTTGTTGCCAGGAGACAACTAGTGAAGACAAGAGAATCCTACTGCATGTGCAATGGTGAATTGGAAAGTGTATAAATCAGCAATAGCACTGTATTTAAGTGTGATTAAGAGAACCTGTAACCGAAGTGCTAATAAGTCCAATCATCAGAACCAGAACCTGTTACTTTCGTCCCACCCAACACGTAACAATATCCGGCTTCTAGCATAGTGCCTTAACCAACTACACTACCGCATTCCCCCAATTGTGGGCGTAAATATAATTTCTGCTGCCTAAAAGCAGACTATATGACATCCATCGCTTCGCAACGGTCAGTGAGAACACATACTACCTAAGAAACTGCCTACACAACAGAGGCAGAATTGTTGAGCTACTGCAACAAATAGACCCGCTAGCAAATATTCCAGCTTGCACGCGAAACTCAACCCTTCGACAAGGTGTCTTCTATCGCGTCCAAGTGTATGATATAAGAGGCTAGAAGACAGAAAACAAAAGAACACCCGTGTGGAGGCGGAGTCAAATACCTCCACCGTGACCCTGCGACTCGTAGGAGGCGACGAAAAGGGAAGTCTGAAATCTTAGTAAAATACGGTTACGAGTCCCAAGAAACTCGGACCCGAGAAAGACTGCGCTGGCAAAGGCCAGCAGCATATAGAAAAGACAGACCCATCCTCTCGTCAGAGAGGGCACCCCACAAAAACAAGACCGTAAGTGTGAAACAGTAATAAATATCTGGTCATGATCGAAACCAAGACTTACTGACTGACTCGCCGTCAGTCAGATTCGACAAGAGCTAAGAACAGTTCAGATCCGACGAGAGCTAAGAACAGTTCAGATCCAATGAGAGATAAGAGAAGAACCACGAGGAAAGACCCTACACCTAGAATAGCGGCACAAGAGCATAACCGTTGAAGAGGAAACGCGAGAGATGACGGACTAATCAGGTCGCTTCGTCTGAAAGGGCCTTATTTGAGAGTGATTGTAATTGTGAGTGTAAACGAGTAGTTGTCCAATAAACACCTTCGCCTAAGCGGCCTCCGTAGTCTAGGGGTAACGTTCCCACCTCATGACTGAAGGTACGCGGGTCCAAACCCGGCGGAGGTCGTGGAATTTTTAAGGGCGGAAAAATTCAGGGAACAAGTCCTCCGGGAGGGACTTTAAGCCGTGTGTCCCGTGTCGTAGATTTACGGCACGTCTCTAGGAGACCTCTGAGCTAAATTACAGGCCCTTTCCCGCCCAAGTAGTCTCCAATGCCTTTGGTGGATGGGGGAAGCATCAAGGTACCGGGGGCCGACCTCGTTGGCTCTACAGGGGCTGATGGCACGCACCGTTACCGGTAGGGTATGGCGACAGTAGAAATTAAAGGGGGACGCACAATGGACCAATAACTGGTCTAAGTGCATGGGGAAACCCACCCCCTCTCAATACGAATACGAACACCTTCGCCTAATCCGGAACCCAAAATTTCTTGTCGCATAACCTGGATACGTGGATGCTGACTCACCCACCGCGTCACTGCTGGTGTGGGGGGGGCTCGGCTTTGCGCAACATGTCACAATATGTATTATTTTATGGGGTCGCTATATTACAAGGTTAGAGAACCCCTGACTTAGGGCCTGTTTTATTTTCTTACTAATGCACAAAACTTCCTTGTTTTAACTTCCTGCCTGGCTCAGTAGCTCGCAACGTAAGAAGTTAGAAACATTTCAATATAGACTGTGAAGCTGATATCATAATCTTTGCACTGTAACGCCGGCATTATCTCAAGTATGCGATCTCCATGTTTAGCTTCATATCGACTGCTTATAGCTGTTTCAACAAATTTTATTTTGGAGCTCTTCATGTTTTCGTGGTTAAGGCAACATAGTGCCTATACCGGCATCAGTGTTCTTTTATTCCAGTGTGTTCTTTTTGTGGGTTGTTTTACGAAGTTGCGGTACCTGGACTATTTGACATCTAATAGGCGGATGACTGATGAATTGGAAAGCACTCAAAAGGAAACTTCTGTGGCCTAATAGAGATACTATCCCGATGTTTTCATGGTGGGAATTGGGAAAGTCGCGAGAAATCATGGTCAAGCCAGTATTCGCCTGCGCACCTTATGCTTACGAAACTAGAGCGTTAGCTCTAGACCAGCTTACTCGGTCAATGTCTTTTGTATTCCTTTGACTCTACGCCTGTAAATCTGGTTTGGGTTATCTTCGGCCACCTGTCTTCATTAATTCTGTTTACGTGATCTTTTCATCTCTTCTTATGTGTAGCAATTTCAACTAAAGTTTCTTATCATAAGTTTCTCATTCAGTAATTAGTTTTCGCGCTTCCTTCCTTCCTTCTGGCAGTTGTCACAATCGTCTCTTCTATTCTTTTCTTCTGTATATCTGATGCCCATGTCTCGCTGGCGTATTCTGTCGCTGATTTAATCAATTACTTACAACATATTAATTAAATTTGGTGTACCCATGAAACTAGTTGATATGTTTAAATTGTAACCTGTCTTAAGTTAACTAGCCTAATACATGTCATATTCAGGATGGTATGAAACAGGTAGATGTGTTATTGTCTTTTCTTTTAACGTTGTTTCCCTTTCTATGAAGAAGGTTCAAGAAAATGACGGACTGAATTTAACAGGACAAAACAGAGTCTGGTCTCTGCTTACGATGTCAGTATGTTGGACGATAATGTAAACATCATTTTAAAAACACAAACATTATTGTAGTTGATAGCAAGAAATTTGGCCTAAAAATAAACCTACAGCAAACTAAACAAATTTTCATATATCTTTACCAGAATTCTGAACACAATTACAATATAAAGGCAGCGAATAAATGCTGAGAAACTGTGGAGAAGTTATAATATTTAGGAACTACACTAACAAATCAAAACTACATTCAGTTAAAAATAATAACATGTTACATTTGGAAAATGCTTGCCGCCGTTGAGTTCAGAATATTCTGTCTTCTCGTCCGAAAGAGTCTCTCTAAAAATTCGAATATTACAATATTCAAAACTAAACACTACCTATTGTTTTGTAAGGATGGAAAGCATGGTCTCCTACTTTAAGGGAAGAACACAGATTAAGGGTGTTAGAGAATAAAGTACTGAGAAGAATATTTGGCCGTAAGAGAGAGGAAGTAACTGGAGGATGAGCTCATATCTTACTTTAAGGGAACACCACGGGAGTAAGAATATTTGAGAATGAAGTGTCCAAAAGGGCGTTTGGTCCTACAAGAGAGGACGTAACTGGAAGCTAGAGGAACCTGCATTACGAAGAGCTTCATAACGAGTACTATCTTCTGGGATGTTACGCTGCAGAAGTCCTGCAGAAGTTGACCGGAATGCACTGCGTAACGTCCCAGAAAATAGTATCCTTCCTAATCATCGCTCAAATCCAAATATAATTTCTACGCTTCACCAAATATTGTTACAACGTTTGCACAGAGCCAAATGAGATGAGTGAAGCATTTTGAATACCTACATGGGAGTTCTGAAATGCATCCAGAATTTTATTTAGAAACCCCAAGGTAAGAGAACACTTGGAAGATCTAAGCGGAGACAGATGAATCATATGAAATACGTGTGAGGATGTGTACTGGATTCATCTAGCTCAGGATAGTGCTCAATTAATGGCCCATGTGAACACAATATTAAACAAAGAATAATGCTAGGATGCCGCCTATTCTGGTAGGTGTTTACAAATGGCGACACGTTCCAGAAACTATATTTTGTGT